TTCCCCTCCTGCAGCTGTGCCGGTGCCTCCGCGGCTGTCGCCGTGCCCCCCGCCCCGAGCAGAGGAAACCCCAGCTGGATATTAGGAAAAGGTGTTTCCACGTGAGCATCAGGGCCCCTACTGGTGACGGGATCTGGATCTTTGGCGATATTTAAGCTTGGACTGGACGAGGCCCTGCACAGCTCGCTCTAATTGGGCTGTATTTCAGGTGGAGGGCTGGACCGAGGCTTGCAGAGATCTGTTCCGGCCTATAATGGTTCAATGATTTTGGCAAAACAAAAGTGTGTCTATATGTTTGACATTCTGCACCTGTACGGGATGTCACATTAAACTCTATACTTAGAATCATAGCATCGTTTAGGTTGGAAAAGACCTTTAAGATCATCCAGTCCGACCATTAACCTAACAGTACCAAGTCCACCACTAAACCAATTAAGGGCAGAGTAATCATTAATTTCATGTTTCCTGGTTTGGTGGCTGGATTTTTTAATGAAAGTAAAACTAGGAACCGTTAAGTTTGGAAAGGATCTCTAAGATCATCAGTCCAACCATCACCCCAACACCACCATGCCTACTAAACCATGTCCCAAAGTGCCACGTCTACCTGTTTTTTGAACACCTCCAGGGATGGGGACTCCCCCACCTCTCTGGACAGCCTGTTCCAATGCTTGACCGCTCTTTCCGTGAAGAAATTTCTCCTAATATCCAATACTTGCATGATGCCTCGGTCAGCCTCTTACTCCTGTGGCCATCATTTAAGTCACTTTGCAGAATTTGGTGCTTGTCTGTTAATGGGTAGTTGAATATAAAGACCCCTAAACTTGGAAAAAATGCTTTTGAGTAAGTTCAGAAGCCACAGCATGGGCAGGCTGCTGAAGCCAGCAATTTCACCTGTGTTTGCAGCCTGTCAGTATGTGAACCAGCACTTCTTACGATGACTCAGTAACTTTTCCACCACTGGTGTGATTTTGAGGTTGAAAAAACCTCTGCTGGCTCACCTACGTTTAAGGTGGGGTTTGTACCATTATAGTTACATCGGGCACAATAACGAGTATCTCTGTTTTGCTTGCTTCCTCCCCTTACATGTATTTCTTTATTCCAGACAACTATTTTAGCATCCCCTGCAGGCTCATAATGTAGCCAGGAAATGTTGTTTGTGCAGGTATATTTTCATTTGCAGCAGTGAAGAAATAACTTGCCGCCTTTGTTTCTGCATCCCACAGAGCTTGTAGCCTCAGGTGGGAGTATGAGCGAGTTCCGCATTCACCACGATGTCAATGAGTTGCTCAGCCTGCTGCGCGTTCACGGCGGGGAAGGAGCCGAAGTCTACATCGATCTTCTGCAGAAGAATCGAACGCCTTACGTTACCACGACTGTCTCTGCGCACAGCGCAAAGGTAAGCGTCGATGTGCTGTAACCGCATCTGAGATGCGTTTCAGACCTTACTGGGGGGGGCAGCAGGACTCCTGAGGACGCATGCTTCCTTTGCAGTGGTTGACAGAGCTTCCATCGGCTCCTCCCTAAGGAGAAATTCAAGATAAACATTCCTCAGTGCGATTTCTTTTGGCCAGTGATGTGAACTACCTTTTTCCTTACTCTACCATTCTGTGAGATGACTTCTGTGGGTGCGGAGCTGGATGCATGTTGGGAGGGGTAATGGCTGTCCCAAGTTTTTCTGAGAATAAGAGTGAAATCATGTTGCCTTTGGTAAAAAAAAAAAGGGGTAGTCTGATCTGGAATCTCAGTTTAGGGTATAAAGTAGAAAGGTTATATCAGGAAAAAGGTAAAATCCTTGCATCTTGGAGAGATTGGTGAAAGAACATGAGAAGGATTGGGGGGGAGGAAGTTCAAAGAAGGAGCTTATTTTGTGCCTGTGATGCTGGTTTCAAATTTTAATTAGAGGGGTTGTCCTCTGGAGGATTAAAACAAATGAAAAATAGTAACTGCATGAAATGCGATTATATGAACAACACATGACTTTTTTCCTGAATATCACCCAGGTATTAGGGATTAAAGCCTGACACTCTCATGAGCAGGCATACTTCTGTGGCCGTAATACTGGTTTTCACTGTCGTTTTTAAAAGCAATCCATCAGTCAAGCTATAAGTGCTAGAAAATCGCCAACTCTCTCTGAAAGTTCAGATCTTTGTAGCCTGAACTGCACGTTTTCTCTAATTCCAGTCTTACACATCATTTACACTGACAGCTACAATTTGTAGACTTGTAGAAAGATTTAAGTAGAAGGCACAGGTGGACACCTGCGGTCCCACCCCTTGCTCGCAGCAGGGCCAGCATCACAGCTACAGCAGACTGCTTAGCTGCGTTTTGAAGATCTCCAGGAGATTCCTCCATCTCCCTGGCTGTGTCCCAGGGTCACTTCTCTCTCCAGAAAGGACTGTTTCCCTAGGGCCAGTTGGGATTTTCCATGTCGCAGTTCATGGCAGTGCCTGTGATGCTTTTGTTGTGCCCCTCGGAGCTGGATCTGTAACCTCTTTGGGCCATGGGCAGTACGCCCCACTGTCTCTGTGGCTCTGCACTGGGCTCAGTCCAGTTTGTTGATGTCTCTCTTGCTAGTGGGGCCCCCAAAGTGGACTCATTGTCCAGATGTGGCTTAATCACTGCCAAATCCCTTAATAAACTTGCTGCTACAAAATTATATCGCTTCAGACCAAGCACGCAAAGCGAGCCCTGCGACAGATCTTGTGCTTACCTTCATCTTTTCTCTCCTGCGGTCCCTTCTCCATCAGCTGAAGTGCCAGGACCCCCTCTCTCCTCCTGCATAATTATTAATAGGAGACCAATGCTGCAGCATTCAGTCCAAAACGCATTCCCTGAAGTACTTTGGCAGCAGCCGCAGCCTGCACCTTGTCTCCATCCTTGCACAATGCTCCTCTCTTGAATGCTGTGATTATAATATACATTAAACATATAATATTAATGTGGTGTTTTACAGGTAAAAATAGCAGAGTTTTCTCGAACTCCTGAAGATTTTTTAAAGAAGTACGATGAGCTGAAGTCAAAAAATACAAGACATCTGGATTCTTTAGTTTATCTGCTGTCAAAACTCACAGAAGACAAAGAGGTTTGTTTCTCCTTTAGAACTGGATGTGTTGTGTGCACAGCATGTACAGCATGCTTTCTGATGACAGCATTCAGTGAAATGCATTGAAATCGACAGATAACCAGTTCTGGCATTTACTTAATTATTAAAGCGCTACTGAGAATTACAGTCCTCTTGATACAAACCACTAAGACATGGGAAACTGGGACAGAAAGGCCTGTGGTCTGATTCAGCAGAACCGTCTTACGGTCATATGTTTTTTGCTTTAGTATGTGCTGACCAGTGTTCACAAAATCTTTTTTTTTTTTGTGTATGTACAGACACTCCAGTATTTGCAGCAAAATGCTAAAGAAAGGGCAGAACTTGCAGCAAATGCAGCAACCAGTGCCAGCACAAACTTTTCCATTCCTTCGTCTACTTCCAAGATATCTCTGCAGGAGCTCGAGGAGCTACGCAAGCAGCTGGGCAGTGTCACAGCCAACTCCAGCGTTCAGCAGGTACTGTCTCTTCCCAAGCTTTGGGTACAAAATCTTTCCCTTCTGCTCATGTGTATAGCTGTGCTCTCAACTTTTATCATCTATTGGAATTATAAATGTTCTTATCTGTGCAGATAATCTAAATTATGTCTCAAAAATTATTTGTCAGATTGTATTAAAATCTTTGTGCTGTTCTTAATAAAAGTGGCCTTTTTCTATTTAAGTCAGTTAAGGTGAGTCAAGTTTAAACCACAACAGTTCTAACTGGCAGGAGTTAATGTAATTTCATTTTCCCATTTCAAACGACCGCGTTAAACTGTGCTGACATTTCCTTTTCTGCCTGCGGCTCAGGAGCTCAGCAGCCATTGTGGCGTGTCCCCATCCTTGCCAGGAGTTCTGCTCTCTCAGATTATGTAGGTGCAGTGCCTCACATAATCATTCCCCAAGTGGACACAGCCATTCCCTCTACTTAGCTATTTGAGCTTCTGAAATAAATGCTGCAAAGTGATCCCAAAGACAAAAAGGAAGGAAAAAAACTGTTGTAGAAGTAAACTGTATCATTGCAAGACACAGGCTTAGAAAACAGTTAAGCGAGCCTTTCATTATCAGTAGGCCGGGAGGTTGGAAGTGCAAAAGGGCGATTATTACTTAAATCCCAACTTCTGTTTCCTGTAATCATTTGTGTAAATAACTATACTGTGATGGGTTGACCTTGGCTAGCCACTCTATTACTCCCCCTGCTCAACAGGATAGGGCAATAAAAATATGAGGAAAAGCTTGTGGGTCAAGATAAGGGCATTTTGGCAGTGGAAGGCACAGGAGCAACTGTGTATGGACAGTTATTCGGACAGAGTTGAAAGAGAGATAACTGGGGAGAAGGGGAAGAAGAAAAGATGTCCACAGGTCCGTAGTGAGTGAGCAACTGGACAATATGTGCAAATGCTTCCATTTACAATTTTGCAGCTTACCTTGGTCCCAGAGGTATGTTTCTGCCTTCTGATGACTGGTCAATAAAATCTAGCAAGGGACAAGGCTCCAGGCTCTGCATGTGACTGTTTCTGAGGATGCCATCCTGCTTGTGAACACTTAGAAATCATACACGGGGGTCTTCTCCATCTGCAGTCTCTGTTGTGGCAGTCCCGCGCCCTTGCTCCGTGGAGGCATATCTGTGCCTCATTAGCGCATGGGGTCTGTCTGCATTGGTGCGGTGTGTGCTTCACCCAGCTGCTCGCTCTGCAGCACTGCTGGCCCTGTCTTGGCCATGTGGCAGCGTTCACATTCATGATGCATCCTACCAACCTTTGCTGTTGAGCTCTCTAGCTGTGGCTGTATATGGTTTATTGCTGGCTCCTCAGCAGATGGGCAGTTAATCTTCAGTCTGTGAAGATCTTCCTGTGGCAGTGGCTGAGCAGAGCTAACACCTTCCGGGGAACACCCTCCTGTCCCTGGTGGAGATGATGACAGTAGATGATGCATCTGCCACCAAGTGGGGAGTTTGCTGTGGTGGTCAAATCACTTCAGGCCATCGATGGCTAGAGGAGTGGACTCTCCATGTTGAGTGTTTTGGGACACCCGATGGGTCTCTCAGCTTGAAGGGCTGTACATGCGTATGGTGATGAGAGTTCAAATCCTAAACAGAGAGAGTCCAACCCCCTGCCCCTGTCAGGCAGTGATGAAACCAGCCTTGTTCCATGTACACTGTGAAATGCACATCTGCGCAGACTGTTTGCCTGATTCGTCCAAATCCTTCACAGATGATCTCTTCTCCCAAGTAACTAACGATAGGATGAGAGGAAATGTCCTCAAGTTGCATCAGGGTAGGTTTAGGTTGGATATTAGGAGAAATTTCTTTACTGAAATTTACTGTCAAGCATTGGAACAGGCTGCCCAGAGAGGTGGTGGAGTCCCCATCCCTGGAGGTGTTCAAAAAATGGGTAGACATGGCACTTTGGGACATGGTTTAGTGGGCATGGTGGTGTTGGGTTGATGGTTGGACTGATGATTCTAGAGGTCCTTTCCAACCTTAATGATTCCTAGTTTTTACTTTCATTAAAAAATAATGCAGCCACCAAGCCAGGAAACATGAAATTAATGATTACTCTGCCCTTAATTGGTTTAGTGGTGGACTTGGTACTGTTAGGTTAATGGTTGGACTGGATGATCTCAAAGGTCTTCCAACCTAAACAATTCTATGATTCTATGATCTGAGTCAAGTGGTTGATTAGATCATGAAGGGAACATGAATTTCCAGTAGGATAACTGGTCTTTTTAATAGGATTTATGTACGGACTTGCTAAAAGAGGAAAGAAGCTTAAAGAGCTGAAACTCAGATAAAAAGCCCTAACGGGCAGGTGCTCAGGGCCGTTGAGTCAACAGGGCTGTATCAACTCACATAGCTGAAATCTCTTGACCCAGAGTTTCTACTAGAGCCGCTTCCCAAGACTGTCAAGTAGTCATAATAATTGCAATTGATTTATTTCTCCAGCACCTGCCATCTCCATCTCTCTTCTAGAAGTCAGGTCGTGCACTGCCACAAGCCCTGGAGTGATCCTTCACACTATATTAATGGACGTGAGGGTCTCACTTGAGCAACTCTGTGATCCTCGTGGCACCATCTTCATTCACCAGGCATGGAGGATAGTTGCCAGAGGTTCCACAGATCCGTTGCAGCAGTGGTGGGAGGAACCGCTCGGGTTGTCCAGTCAGCCTCCTTCTCACAGCAGGACTGTCACTCACACTAGATCACTGCAGCCGTCATTTTGTCCATCTGAGTCCTGCAGCCCCCCAGGAGGGAGATGCCCCATCTCCCTGGTGACCCCCCATGGGTGCTCCATCTCTGTGGGAAGAAGTGTCTCTTCCTGTCTGATCTCAATATCCCAAGAGGTAGCTTGTGTCCGTGGCTGGTGACACTCCTGCTCCGAAAGGGTGGCTTTCGTCCTTGCCTCCGGAACCTCCTGCCACTGCTGGGAGGAGCTTGGCTTCACCCGTCGTCTTGGTACTTGTCCTTCCTGTAGTTGCAGGCTGCTCTTGGACCTTCTTTTGGCCAGACCCAGCAAAGCCCAGCTGCCCCCACCACTCCTCCTTGGTCATGCGCTTTAGGTCCAGTGTATGCCCGCTGCTGCCTATCTTCCCTGGCGCCAGGGCTGTAGTGCGGGGAGGCCTTTGGTGCAGTTGGCGTTCATTGAGCACAAAGATGAGCTCTTTCTCTGCCTCGATGGATGTGGGCACTGTCATTGCTTAAGATGCCAGATGCAGGCTCATCAGCATGACAGTGGCAAACTGCCACTGTATCCCATGGGCCTTTAAGTGCCAGGCTGAGACCTGAGGGCCACATTTTCAGTCCTGGGAGTTTTATCCAGGCTGTCATTGACACTTGTAATGGCAATGATCTAAATTTCAAGTTGCAGAGAGAGGGTGATTCATGTCCCTGAGTCACATGCTTTGTCACCGGTGCCACAAGTGCTGTGCCATCTGCCCTGTAATTACTTGGCACTGTCAGAGAGATCATCCAGTGATCTTTCAGTGATTGGAGTTGCTGCTTGGGCCAGTTTTGGCCCAAGAATCATCGATTCTTGGTAAACGTTACATGTTCCCTTTCAGGTAGCTGTGTCCTTCATAGCCAAAACTGTGTCAACTTTTTTGAACTCTGCCAGTTAACAAATTCACACTAGAGCTGACTGAACTCCAACAGAAGCTCCCTGCGTCTTGTCATCCCAGAGAATCACATGAAGAAGAACCAGTCCCTCGATGAAGAAGGTTCTGCGTTTGTTTCAGGGGTTCTGTCTGCTCCTTTTCACGATCACTATAAGGAATAGGCCTCCATCTCTGCCTTTTTATTAGGGACAGATGCCACAGCACACACCCTTACTCCAGGCATGCCCCAGCCCATAGGCTGTGAGCTCACAGGGACAGAGGTGCCAGCGTGCTCCCTCGCAGTGCCATGAGCTCATCTCATTTAAGGGACTTTCCTCAGGCACTGGGAGCTGTTGGGTTTATTCTTGTGTAGTAGGAAAGTAGAGAATTTTACAATAGGTATTTTCCAGGGCCAAGAAGGAAAGGAGACTACTATATGGATAAGGAATTGGCTGGACGGCTGCATCCGATGAGTTACAGTCAACGGCTCAATGTCTAAATGGAGACCAGTGACAAGTGGTGTCCCTCAAGGGTCCGTTTTGGGACTAATACTATTTAACGTCTTCATCAATGACATACCTAGTGCGATTGAGTGCACCCTCAGCAAGTTTGTGGATGACACCAAGCTGAGTGGTGCAGTCGGTACACTGGAGGGAACGGATGCCATCCAGAGGGACCTTGACAGGCTGGAGGAGTGGGCCTATGTGAACCTCATGACGTTCAGCAAGGCCAAGTGCAGGGTCTTGCACCTGGGTCGGGGCAATCCCCACTATCAATATGGACTGGGGGATGAAGGGATGGAGAACAGCCCTGTGGAGAAGGACTTGGGGGTACTGGTGGAAAAAAAATTGGACGTGAGCTGGCAATGTGCGCTTGCAGACCAGAAAGTCAATCATATCCTGGGCTTCATCACAAGAAGCATGGCCAGCAGGTCCAGGGAGGTGATTCTGCCCCTCTGCTCCATCTTTGTGAGACCCCACCTGGAGTACTGCATCCAGCTCTGGGGTCCCCAGTGCAAGAAAGACATGGACCTGTTGGAGTGGGTCCAGAGGAGGGCACGAAAATGATCCGAGTGCTAGAACACCTCTCCCATGGAGAGAGGCTGAGAGAGTTAGGTTTGTTCAGCCTGGAGAAAAGGCTCCGAGGAGATCTTACTGTAGCCTTTCAATATACAAAGGGGGCTTATAAGAAAGACGGAGTAAGACTTTTTACCAGGGCCAGTAGTAACAGGACAAGGGGCAACGGTTTTAAACAAAGGGGTAGGTTTAGATGTGATGCTCCATCGCTGGCAGTGTTCAAGCTCAGATTGGATGGGGCTTTGAGCAACCTGATCTAGTAAAAGATGTCTCTGCCTGTGGCAGGGGAGTTGGACTGGATGATCTTTAAAAGTCCCTTCCAACACAAACTGTTCTATGAGTCTATGATCTGATTTCATTTTGGCAGTTGAAGACAGGAATTACTTCATGTCTCTGAATTTCCAAGGTGTGACTTTCATATAGTCCATCTTGGTGAATGAGCTCTATTTCATAGTACTGTCTTCTACCCACATGTGCTGTTGAGATCTTACCTGGCTCTGGTAGGTTGTACAGTCTCCCACACTTAGTGCAATGCTTTTGGACTTAGATACTTTCTTAATCTGCTCTCTCATAAGTATGCTTGGTTGGTGGAGATGTTGTGATGGTGAGGTCCATGGTTTGTGGAGCTTTTCTTCCAACTCATTCCTCCCTGCCACTTGGGAAGATGTAATGATGGCTGCCCTTCTCCTAAGCAGAAGCTTGTTCATACAGCCATCTTGCATAGTGCCAGTGCTACAGGGAGATCTTCCATTCCAGGTCTTCCTTTAACGACCTGGAGCTCAAGATGATACAGAAAGTGCACATGATGTTTCGATATTTTAGCCAATGTCTGTGTATCTGGATCGTGACAGACAAGTAAACTACTATGTATGACTTCAATAGAGGAGTATTTTCTCACTCTGAGTTTAAGATTATGAAGGAGTTCAAGTTGTTTACCCGCGTGAAGGACCCAGTCCTACACTGAGATCTGCAATTTTATGTGAAGTTTAATCATCCTTTAAATTGCTGGCAGCTTACTTGACACTTCATCCTTCTCCATACCCTCCCCTCCTGTTTCTGTTAGCAGAGCAGAGGAAGTTGAGGTCATTCTAGCAGATCACTTATATACAGCATAAGTAGGAATGTAGTCTTGCTTTGGGGTGCCTCTCTGACCTGAGGACATTGTACTGGTGTTATGCCAGCAGTGAGACTGTAGCAAACATGCTGGGAAATGGTGCTGCTTGGAGGAGTGGTCCCATGGCTGGTGCTTGTTTGAAGGATTTCAAGACCCAGCACTGGGCAGCTCTGAGAAGACGAAAAATGGCCGGGGCCAGACACAGCACTACCTCTGCAGCACTGAGACCGATAGACTAGATGGTATTGGGAGACTAAATCCTACACTGTGCTACTGAAGCATTAGCTATTCTACTTTCTGTTCTCAGGTTATCAGTTTACAGTCAATTTCTGCTTAAAAGTCAAAATTTCTTGGACTTCTGAAGAACTCTTCTTCTCCTTTCTTGCTCTCTCTTTTTTCTGACAGCCCCTTGAGCTTACACGAAAACTCCTCCGAGATAAGCAGAACAAGAAGAATTCTGGTCAGCCCATTCCAGTATTTCCATGCTGGGTGTATGAGAGACCTGCACTTACTGGCGATTTCTTAATTGGCACCAGTTTAAGCACTGACACAACGATACCTATAGGTATGTGATACACTGGGAAAATTGCATTAACTTTCTATGTTTTGTACTTGTTCAGAAGTGCCATTCAGATTTCATGACACTCAGTATGAAAGCAAAACTTGGTTCTGTGCACTCTGCAGATGAAGGGCGGGGATCAAAAAAAAAAAAACCAAAACCCAAACTTATTTTCTTCACAGTGTTTCTCCTGTGCTGAATTCCAGCCCTACTGTTGATCCACGCAATATAATCTGTTTTGAGTTTCCCAGTCCTTTTTCTCTCTTGAGTCACAGCCTCCATAAAATCCTACTGTAGGAGTATCACATCTGTATTCTCAGCTGAAAAATCTGTAGTCGTACCTGACAAGGGAGTATTCATCAATCCACCCAGCTCAATATCCTCTCCAGTAAGACTATAACAACCTCCCTGGCTTGCTCTCTCTCTCCTTGCCAGAGTGGCAGGGGACTAATCTCTCCCTGTTGTATTCTAGTTTTAGGCTGAGCTATGTATAGTTTCTTATTCATAAATTAGATTTAAGAACTTTTTTTGGAAGAGAACAGCTAAGTTAGAGACTCATGTTTCCATTCCCCAGAACTGTGGAGGCTCCTACAAGAAACCTGGAGCTTCTTCCTATTGTGGATTTGGGCTGTGTCAAAGTGGGACATGAAAACAGGAGGCTCATTCTTGGAGGTGCCCTTAAATAGCTTGTCCACTAGTGCATTTCTGCCGGGGCCTTTTGGGATGTGCTGTGAGGATATGTTCCTAGCAAGCTCAGAACCATTTGTTCTCTCACATGCAGTCACACAAATGGAAAGGGATTGTTGCCTTGTTTCATGAGATAAGCTTTGCTGAAGTTAGCATTGTAGCCACTCTGTTCCCTGATCTTCCAATGCACTTGATTATATTTCAGGTTGAGTCCTTTATGCTTCTTTGCAGCTGGTTTGTAGTTGACTGCATCATTCAGAGACCCTCAAGTTTGCAGTTCACCTGCAGCGTTTACTGGGCTAGCATTTATTTGTATCTGTATTTGAACTGTTTTCTTGATATTTGACTATTTCAGTGGAGGGGAGATGTGGGGAGTTGTTGACAAGATTGGAGCTCCTCAGGTCCAGTGTAACCAAGCCCTTTTGGGTGGAAGGATCAGCAGCACAGGCTCTGGGTGATGTTCTCTTGGCCACAGATGTTGGATGTATAGCCCTGTCTACTTGCTTTGCTTTGGGTATAAATGAGAAAAGGATTCTGTTTTCCTGGAAAGCAGATGATTTTGGAGTTGACCCTAACTGATTTTGGAGTTGACTCTAACTCAGTTTTATTTCTCTGTATCTTGATTCAGCTTTGTGTGATTCAGCTTACTTTGTTCTCTTTGAATGGTAGTATGTCTTCCTTTCAAGCTTCAGGTACTAGATTGAAATGATGTGAATGGATGATCACGTAGTACTATGGCATCTTGTGATTGTGCTTTTTTTTTGTCTTCTCTTTGAAAACAGGTACCTTGCCATTAGCCTCCCAAGAATCCATGATTGTGGAGGACTTGCTGTACGTTCTGATTGGTGTGGATGGAAGATACATCACAGCACAGCCTCTTGTAGGCAGGCAGAACCGAGCGTTTTCAGTCGATCCAAACTTAGACTTGTCCATCAAAGAGCTGGTGACCAGGATTCTTCCTGTAGCAACAAGTTACTCTGCTGTCACCAGGTACCAAGCTGACTTTTGTCAGAGGAGGATGTTCTCATTTGAGCATCAGGTTGTAGAATAGAGAATTGGTCATTGTGCAGATGTTAACTTCCAAGCTTAATTTAAACCTATGGGGATATAAAATAAGAATGACAATTTCTTTGGATTGGTTTTAGCTACACTTCTTTTTGCTGGGTTTCTCCTCTGTGCTGCCAGTTCACTTTTTCACTCACCTCACCTTTACTTTGTCCAAACTTGGTCTTGGTACATTCAGGCAAAGTGCAAATAGGATATGTCTGCTCATTCTGGCTTGTCTCTTCCCACTCTGCTATGAATTTCTGCATGTTTCCTGCTTTTTGCTCTCCTCTGGGCATCCAGGACTGAGTGAACCTTTGCGTGCTTCTGAGCACAAGAACCTACTGCTGCCTAGTTTCTGGTTTAATAATTACCTTAAGTAATTGTTAACAGGTCTTAGTATAAGGTACACCTCACTAACAGCATGTTTGTTATGTAGATGTCTGCATTTGATTCAAAGTCCCTAAAAGATCAGCAAAGAGAAAGAAGCATTTTTAGGATGTGATTCGTCCAAGCTCTTTTACCTGCCTTCTTCCAGATGATATGACTTGTGTTCAGGAGCGTCTGTTTCTCTCCACTAACATATGGAGCTATCTAAATCTGGTCAGATGAATCCCTGCTGTGGCCTGTGGTGTCAGAGGCTAGCAACAGTGCTTTCCCCACATGTTTGGTTGCACATTGCTTCTTTTTGAGGTCCTTTCCTGTCCTCTGATCTGTTGCTTATGCAAAGACAATCGCCTTGAAAATCTTGGCTCTCACTTTTTACATAGCGGTTTTGCAAATAATTCTAGTTCCCCTGCAATTCGAGAGGAAACGTCTTCCCACAGCTTTCTATATTAGGAATGTGGCGATGGGAAATAGGCATGGGGATACAGAGCAAATGTGGAACCTGAAACTCCAGATGAAGACCGGTGTGCTTTCCAACACACGATCTAGTTGTGTGCTTGTATAGTGTCCTGAAGATAAAATTCCTGAAAATGATAGAAGGTGCCTTGCCTGAAGGAGTTTACATTTTGCTTTTTACAGGTTTATAGAGGAGAAGTCTTCCTTCGAGTATGGACAGGTAAATCATGCTCTGGCTGCTGCTATGCGGACTCTAATCAAGGAATACATGATACTGATTACCCAGCTGGAACATCTTCAGAGACAGGGACTTCTGTCACTGCAGAAACTCTGGTTTTATATCCAGCCCACAATGAGGACCCTGGAGATTCTTGCTTCACTTGGTAAGTTTCAAAAGTACAGCCATTACATTTTGACAGGTGCAAGACAGTGGCTTCTGAAAACTGTACAGAGTTGCAATACAGGCAGGACACGTGTCATTTTAATTTTATGTTATATTAAAGAGGAAGGCCAAAGGGAATTGCACTTGTCGGAGCACTGCTCTTTTTTGAGAGCAGTGGGCTCCAGGGCCGAATCTGCCCTTCAGAGCTGTCATGAGGCAAGTCCATGCCTTTTACCTTCACAGTCCAATGCTCTTCAGATCAGTTGTTTCCACCACTGCTGTCTCAGCTTCTTTCCAAATGCCTCTCCAGCTATATGTGAATGTGTAACCCCAAGCTGATTCAACCAGAAGGAACCCTTGGAATTTTCTAGTCCAACCCCTTGCTCACAGCTACAGCAGGTTGCTCAGGGCCATGTCCAGGCGAGTCTGGACAATCCCCAGTGATGATCATCCCCCACCATCTGGGGCCCTTTCCCATGACTTCTTCACCCTTTTTGTGAACATTTCTTTCTGTGTCTCCAGCTGGAATTTCCCTTCTTGTAACTTTTGCCCTTTTGATATTGTCACTGTGCTCCTCCAAGAGGAGTCTCATACCATCTCCTCTAGAACCATCTGTTGGATAGTGAAGGAATGATGTTCAGCAACCCCCAGCTTCATCTTCTCTCGGCTAGCAAGCCCAGCTCCCTGAGGCTCTCCTCATGTGCCCTGAGCACCAGCCCCTGACCATCTTATCAACCTCTGCTGGACTCTTCATTTTGTCATTCATAGTAGGGACCCCAAACTGAATGCAGTGTTCCAGGTGTGGCCTCACCAGTGCTGGGCAGGGGGGAATAATCGCTGGCAGTGCAGCCCTGGGTGCAGTTGGCATTCATTGCTGCAAGGACGCGCTGCCAACCCACGATCAGCTGGTTGTTCACCAGGATGCCCTGCTTGTTCTCTGCAGTGCTGCTTCTCAGCCAGCTGGTCCCAGCCTGTGCCGTTGCATGAGTTTGTTGGTCACAGATGCAATTTTGGTTAAACTCTTCGGCATGAGAATACTTGTACATTTCTCACTACTCAGCCGAGAGAATTTATCTGGATGAAAATATCCGTTCTATTTACAGTCTGGAATTGGATGATCCCTCTTGGTATTCACATGTCCTGAAATTTTCAGTTTTCTGGAACACAGCCGTTAGCCAAATATATTAAGGCTTACTTGGATCTGAAACTCATGGCAGTACTGTATTCCTCTGTCCCTACGTCCCTTTTGCGATGGCAAAGTACAGATTTCACTATCAACCTACCTAAATCCTGGTGTTCGAGCTATATGCATGGCTACCTTAGTGTTACAGCTGAGAACAGAAGTGCTTTTGAGATCAGAGGTTTCTCAAGCAAGCCACTGAAGTGTGTGTTTTTTCCGTCACCACATGGATAGTGGGTCTCTATACATGGTCCCCTCGGTGTAGGAGGCTTTTGGACTCTAAGCCACCATCTAGCTTGTGTTCAGTTCTCCTTCACTGGGTTGGGTTTGGTTATTGCTTTTTTAGATTGTGGATCATTTGGGGTTTCATTTTGGGACATTTCAGGATGTAAGCTTTTGGTTGTGTGGTTGAATGGCCTTGCATCTTCACAGGAGGGGTCTACAGCTGACATGGAGATCAGTGACTTAGGGTGGTCAGCTAATCAACTGCTAACTTCATTACATTTAACAGCATAGCTTGTGCAGTGAATCTGTGTCAGCTTTGTATCTTACGTCTATATTTTTAAATTTTAGCTACTTCTGTGGATAAAGGTGAGTGTATGGGAGGATCAACCCTGAGCTTACTCCATGACAAGACTTTCAATTACACGGGGGACAGCCAGGCCCAGGAGCTGTGCCTGTATTTAACCAAGGCAGCCAGCGTGCCTTATTTTGAAATTCTGGAAAAGTGGATATATCGAGGCATCATTACTGATCCATACAGGTAAAGAACAGTTAAGGAATGAAAATGAAATGCAAAAGTTAAGAAATACTGTTCAGTTCTTTGGCTTCTACTGTTTTAGTGCGCCCATCCCTCTGCTCTGTAAAGTCTGCATAGCCTAGGGGCCTGGACCTGGCAGCAGTAGGTAGACAAGGCAGCATTGCAAGGAAGGGGAGCTGTTGGAAAGTGTTTAACTACATTTCTTATTTGATTCAGTGGCTATACAGTCAGAGACACTTTCACTTGCTTTTTTTTTCCAAATTCAAGGAAATTATATGCAAAAGTCAATAGCACAACAGTTCAAATATGCAGTCCACTCAAATGCCACCTTACCATGCCTGTCCCCCTTTAAGTATTCTTCTCTCACATCCTCATCCTCTTCATGACAGGGGTGAGCCCTCTTCTCATGGGGCATGAGTGTGATAACTCAGTGAATCTATGTTAAATGTCATCCATTAATATGCTAATCTGATGGGAGCTAACAACACTCTCTGAAGTTTCTTGTCTTTTGTAGAATCGCTGGAAGCATTTCGCTGTGTTTAATAGTTTAGGCAGCATTTCTGGTTCCCACATTTTCAGAATCCTAAGGGGTGCAAAACTCAAGTTAAAATAGCTAAAATTAATGCCTTCCTGATGGTGAGAAGGCAGACAAAGGCCAGCTTCCTCACCTCTATGCTGACAACCAAATAAGGTTTAGATTTGGTTTGTGAACCTTACAAAAATTCTGTTTCTGTCATAATTGGTTGCAGATTAGCAGAAACATTCTGCATAATGCTTCTCCTCTTACTACAAGTACAGACTAATTTCAGTTCTTGATTGGAATGTATTTTCATGAGACCTTATTTTTGATAGATTATATTACCAGTTTACAGGTCAAAAAAAAGTAATCCTCATTGTACCACTTCCTGCTTCTAAACATCTGCTTTAACTGTTCAGTGAGTTCATGGTGGAGGAACATGAGCTGCAGAAGGAGAAGATTCAGGAGGATTATAATGACAAGTATTGGGATCAAAGATATACTGTTGTTCAGCAACAAATACCCTCATTCTTGCAGAAAATGGCTGACAAAATACTAAGCACAGGTAGGTAAAAATATGCCTCTGATGTAAGAGGAATAATCAGATTTAAAAAGAACGCCAAATCCAATAAATAAAACAACATGAGGGAAGGAGTCCAGCAGCAAGGGGAGCTGTCTGTCTTACTGCTCTGTTTCATGGGTACAGTTTTCTAGCAGCTAGCTAGATGGAGCTAGATAACTGAGGTTTGAACATGATGAGTTTTAATTTGAGTGTTTAAATGAAGCATGCAAGCTGATGGCTACCATAGTTCTCTTCCATAAGTACAAAACCCACCCAAAAGCTACTTCTGAAGTGCAGCACCAGATCTTCAAAGTTTCTGGCTATCTGCAGAGATGTTTTGCCACCGCTGGGAAACAAAAACATTTCTAAATCTCTCCTTAAATGTGATTCCAGGTGCCGAATTTAAAATTTGGTATCATCTTTTGAAAGGAGTCTAAATCCTTTCCAGCTTTAGTAGAACGTAGTGTAAACATTTCACAGCATATCTTCCGCTTGAAGGTAGTGGTCTGAAAGTTTCCCTGTTGAATGTACAGTAGGTATGAATATGGGTCATTCTTTTTGCTTCTAGGGAAATATTTAAATGTTGTGCGAGAATGTGGACGTGATGTTACCTGCCCTGTGGCTAAAGAGGTCATCTATACTTTAAAAGAGCGAGCATATGTGGAACAAATAGAAAAAGCATATAACTATGCTAGCAAAGTTCTTCTGGATTTCCTAATGGAGGAGAAAGAGCTGGTGGCTCACCTAAGGTTTGATTTCTTTTACTAAATGCATGTTAAATAGATTGGTTCTGATAGTGAATGTAAGTTTTTGAAGTTAGCTCTCTTTAGGATATTACTAATGTATTCTCTTTATTTCCATTAGAAAGGTTGACCTGAAAAAATAAGATTTGTTTTTTTTTCCCTGAAGAAAAAAAAAAGTGTAAAATCATAGAAATGTTGGGTGGGAAAGATGTCCAGGGATCTCTAGTCCAATTTACTTGGAACGCTGTTGCCAAAACAGGGCAGCCATGGCTTTGTCTAGCTCAGTCCCAAAACCCGCCCTCAGGTATGGACATCCCCCACCTCTCTCATGACTTGTTCTGTGACTGCATGTCACTCCCATCCCGGAAAGGAGTTTCCTCATATCATCTGGTATGATCAAGAAGAGTTTAATGTGAATAAGAAATAGTTTGACATTAAGCATCTCACCAAATGTATGCCATGGTTGTTGTTCATGCAAACATAGGTAGTTGGAAAAGAGTAACTGTACTAGCCCCAAGTTTCAGTGCAGGGTTTTTCTCAGCATTGTCCTTTTTTAAAGTTTGTTTTAATAAGCTATATTTTGAGTCTTGTAACACATTCAGCCAATAGAAGATGCAATAGTATGTGAACTCCAGCTTCCCTGTGTGAACCAAGCTTTTAGTTTATTACTATCTTCGGAAAAAAGTAAAACCAGGAATCTTAATTATCCAGAAGACCAAGACAGTAACAAGTAGGTAGGAAATTGCAGTTGACAGCTGGTTGTAAGATAGTTTGTAATTAGGCTGAGACCTGGTACCAGAGGTTCTGCTTCAAACCAGTGACACAGTGTGAAAGAAAGTGATCTGAGCTTCCTGGGACAAACCTGCCAAGCGACTTGCACAACAAGATGCCCATTGGGAGACGTAAGCTGGAGCAGTAATGGTAACTGAAGTGAATGTGCCTAGCAAGCCAGGCGGGATTGCTTTGGGCCTGCTTTTTGCTAGGTCTGAAAAAATTGTGGCTGCAACAAAGGTGTCTACTCCAGACCTGGGAATACTATGGCTTCAGCTGAGAGAGGTTGTGGGAAGACCTGAAGATCCATGGTTCACTCCTTTGAAACTGATACGTGCTTTCCTGCCCTGTGAAGACCACCAGAGAACACGCCTTGTTTCATGAAAGGTTGTGAGAGCTGTCTGAAACCTGCTAGTCATTAAGGAGATTCTTCCTAGCCTTTTGTCGTGGTTTAGCCCCAGCCAGCAACTAAGCACCATGCAGCCGCTTGCTCACTCCCCCTACCGCGATGGGATGGGGGAGAGAATTGGAGGAATAAGAGTGAGAAACACTCCTGGGTTGAAATAAGAAGAGTTTAATAATTGAAATAAAGTAAAATAGCAATGATGATAATAACAATAACAAAACAACAACAACAATAATAACAACAACAACAACATACAAAGCAAGTGATGCACAATGCAATTGCTTACCACCTGCTGACCAATACCGAGACAGTTCCCGAGCAGCAGTTGCTGCTCCCCGGCCAAACCCCCCAGTTTCTATACTGAGCATGACGTCATATGGTATGGAATAGCCCTTGGGGCAGTTTGGATCAACTATTCTGGCTCTTCCCCCTCCCAGCTTCTTGTGCACCTGGCAGAGCATGGGAAGCTGCAAAGTCCTTGACTGGCATAAGCAGTACTTAGCAACAACTAAAAACATCAGTGTGTTATCAGCATTATTCTCCTACTAAATCCAAACCACAGCACTATGCCAGCTACTAGGAAGAAAATTAACTCTATCCCAGCCGAAACCAGGACACCTTTCTAATGACTGTCACACCTCCAAGCCTTCTTTGCTTACTGTGCAAAAGACACTGGCTTCCAAAGCTCTGGTGGCACATGTCCTCTGTTGGGCCCGTCTGTCACAATGTAGTGATCAGCCCTGCAGCTGGTTGAGGAAGCTACTGAGTTTCCAGTGTGTGTGTGTGCTTTGAGGGCTGAAGTGGGATGGTTGTGATCAAACCCCAGGGACCTGTGACAGGTAACCACTTCTCAGTTAAGCGGGAGTGCTGACTCTCTCCACCATCCCAGAAATATTAGTTGGAAGCGACCAACAACCTGGGCAGGTCTCCAGTTCAACCTCCTCCTTGCAGTGGGGTTGTCGTCAGCATTTGGTCAGGTTTTTATTTGGATTTGTGCTCTAGCGTCTCGCTCCCCTGCCTGTTGTGTCCTCTGTTAACCACTGACGCTGTCATGACTTGCTCATGACTGGGGGAGTTTTCTTGGTTCAAGAGAGTAATGACAGTCAGGGAAACAGAGGGTCTGAGCATCATCCCAAATTGGCAGTGATCAGGAGTCTACAACCACATTATGTTAAGGCTGTGATGGTCCTATTTTTGCTCTGAAAACTGCAGTTATCATGTGTGATCTTTGGCCGGGTCCTAAGTTAATCCTCAAACTCTCCTCTGAGCTATTTCCAGGCTCCCGGCCCACTGCAGTTAACTCTCCCTGGGGCCAAAGGAAAATTAAAGTTTACGTGTCCTACTGTAGCAGAAGTCAGTGCAAGTACTTGGAGTACTTAAAAAATCAGCATAGATACTTGTTCATTCAGAGGAGTCCAAGATTCTGCTCTGAATTGGCAACTGCCTCTTGGATAGATCTGCATGCCGTGGAGGTTGGGGTGTTGTTCAGGATAGCGGTATGAGCCTTTGCCCAGCAATGTAGTGCATACATTTTTTTCCCTAAGGTGCATTTTTCAAAGAAAAAAAGAACAGCAGCAGCCCTGATCTGACCGCACAAAAGCATCCTGACTGAGGTGGAAGGGAGGAGGGGACATGCATAAAAGACTAGTCTCCAGATGGGTTATTTATGGCTGTGTGTTCTGTATGAAGAGGAACATTTTGTGATCAAACCCAGCAGGCTGGCTGAATTGATTGCTTTTGTTCCTTTAAGTTTAATAAGGATTAACTTGGGCTTTAAAAAACATAATCAATTGTCCCTTCATTTTCTTGAGCAGATCTATAAAACACTATTTCCTGATGGATCAAGGGGACTTTTTTGTTCACTTCATGGATCTCACAGAAGAGGAACTTAAGAAGCCTGTAGATGACATCATAACTACAAGGCTAGAGGCTCTGCTTGAATTAGCCCTGCGAATGAGCACAGCCAACACAGATCCTTTCAAGGATGATTTAAAGGTAAGAATGTATGTAAGCAGAAGATAATTGAATCTGAGCAGAAGGCCTGCCACGATTTGGGAAGGTCTGTGTGCCTTTAAGAACCTGCTGAATGTACAGTGAAGGAAAAGAAAATTGCTGGCTGTCCTTCTGTAGACCTTGTCTGGGTTAAGTCCTCTTTCATCCAGGTTAGCAACTGGAAGCACCTGCCCTGGACAAGGGGCTGCATTTTCTTGCTGGTGTCTGAACACGGAGAAGGTGCTTTTGGGTGGCCTCAGGATGAGGTGGAAACAGTAGTGTGTCTCTCATGCTTATTCTCAGCTGGGGTGCTCACTTTGGAGTACAAGAAAATACCTGATTAGAAGTCCTGCATAGTAATGATTGCGTATTTTACAGATGTGAAGCAGTGCAGAGGCTGTGATGGGGGAGTGTGAGATCTGAATAGACCTTAGAGAGGCCGAGGGCAAGGCAGAGTGGTCAGCGGAGTAGTGTGTTGTATGGTGATTGTTAAACACTACAGCGACACTGCTCCAGTGTCTGCTGCTGCGCTGTCCAGATCATTCACTATTGCTTCCTAGGTTGGTCTGATGACTTGAGAGGAACCCTGATAATTTGCACTTCTGCTACATGTCTGTCGCTACCCGGTAGTTGCGAGTATCCTGTGGCTTCTTTTTTTTCCTGCTCTTCCTTTATAGATTGACTTGATGCCCCATGACCTCATTACACAGCTCTTGAGAGTATTGGCCATAGAAACGAAACAGGAGAAGGCCATTATCAGTGCAGATCCCACAGAGCTCACTCTCAGCGGTCTGGAAGCATTTTCCTTTGACTACATTGTTAAGTGGCCTCTGTCCCTTATTATAAACAGGTAAAGTATCAATCCACTGAAGGAGAAAAAGGCAGAAGCATGTTTCCACACAGCAAAATACTGGAAAGCCTGTGTCCTTAAAATGACATTATAAGTTGCTGACTAGTAGGGAATGCTTTGGGGTTGTTGAGCCCTGCTTGCTTCGCTTGTAGGCTGTGGAATATGGATTGTCTCTTCAGTAGAGCCCTACTAGACTGTCTCTAAGGCATGCTTGGAAAGTCAAGCTTTGATTTTAAATGATGGGAAGACATAGATCAAAGGATGCTTTCTCAGCCTGGTCCCTGGTTTTACTTGTGACTGGTCACCCAGTTTTCATTTGTCCATGGCTTTCTGAAGTATCTCCCATGAGAATATGAACTCTTGCAAGAGGGTTTCCATGCAAGAATCAAGTAAATTGGAGAGCAGAAAAAAATGCACTTTCTGGTATCCCTGGTTGCAAACTAGAAGGATACAGGCTGTTGCTAGAATTGCTGTAGCACACTATTTTGCATTTAATTGAGTTATGAGGGTTCATTTGATGAGTATGATTATGATGGTTCATTTTTCTGCAAGGGTTTACCCTGTTTCCTTCGAGAAACACTGGCAGACCTACTACTATGAGCCAGGGCAAATGGAAGAAGCAGTGTTACATGAACAGGGTGACAAATGTTGGACTGTTAAATGCCAACAATTAGCTTGTCCCTTAATTTCCCCTTTAAAATATCAGTTGACACAGTGGGACTTTTCTAATGATGTGATGATTTTGAAATTATGTCTCTTCCTTTCACATTGAGTGTATTAGCTCTGATGGTAGCCATGGAAGTGAAAATACTATTTGGTAAGGCTTCACGAACTGTATCGACTGGAGCTCTGTAGACACCTACACTGAAATGTCTGAATGCAGACCTGAATCCAGTCCCTGAAGCTATAAATAAGCATCCCCATCTGCTTCTGAAAGTGCATCGCTGGTGGGGTAATGCTGCCTGTAGCTTGGTTACAGCTTTTTCTTCATCTTTTTCGATAATCCTGGTGAATTGTTTTGGTGACTGTAGCAGTCTTAGCACAGTGGGTACATGACCACAGGCTTTCAGCCCTCTGTCCCAGCATCTATGTGAGTGACCTTTCTGCAGGTAGCTCGAGGGAATCAAAGGAGGCTGGTGATGTACCCGCTGGCAGGAAATACAGAGGAGGGACTCCTTGGAGAGAGATTCTTTGGGATGGTTACAAATGTGATTTCTTTTTTCTTTGGTTCAAATTGTTTCAGTGCAGTTCTGTGTGCGTCTGAAGGCGTAAGGAACATATTGTGTAAAGTCTCTTTGCCTTTGAGCAGCCTCAGCCTTCACAGCTTAGTCTGTCAATCAGAACAGGCCTTAATCTGGATGGGTTTCTCCTTTCTTTCCAGGAAAGCGCTGACAAGATACCAGATGCTTTTCAGACACATGTTCTATTGTAAACATGTGGAAAGACAGTTGTGCAACGTTTGGATCAGCAATAAGACGGCCAAGCAATTCTCCCTGCATTCAGCTAAGTGGTATGGCCTTTTTTTCTGCTGGATCAGATGTGAAGTTTTGGTTTTCCTTCTTGCTAGTTAGATATGTTGTGACATGGATGAGATCATTTTGACGTGAAAAAGATCCTTACAGATTTCTTACAGGCTGAGAGGTCAAAATATAACAATTTAGGTTTCAGTAGGAAGTATCTGCTCAGTAATCGTGCTGCTCCGCTCCTTCCTCTTTGTTGGCATGAATTTTTGAAAAGGAAGAGATGGTCTTTAGGGTTAGCTCGTTATACGCTGAACAGTTACGGCAGAGGACACCTGTGCACATACAATCTTTGGTGCTACTTTAGCATCAGCAAGATTAGTAAGGACCCCAGTAATTTAAAAGCAACATCCTTCTCTTCTGGCCAGACCACTAGCAAGGACTCGTGGCCTTCACTCATCTTGGCTAGTGTTTGGGGTTTTGGTGTGATACAAATTGAATAAGGTAAAATAGGTGGGGTGTTTTCCCAGGAAATCATTCTATTGTGTTCCATCTGTGAGGGTAGATTTTCATCTTTGGATCTGCGCTCAGAGTGCCAGAGGCGCCTGTTTGGAGAGTGAGGCAGACCTCAGCACTGCGAGGTAGTACCTTCTGCCTTGCCAGTGGCACCTTCTTGTGACAAGGTAACCTCAACTGCCTTGGCGCTGACCTCAGCCAACATGACTGTAGCAGCTCTGGTTCTCCTGTAATTGTAGAGGTGTTAGCAGAACAGACCTGTGAGGGTCTCTGGTCCAACCTCCAGCTCATAGGATGACTGTGATCAGCAGGGGACAGGGCAGCCGTGGTTGCAAACCCCTCCAGTGACCTGTCCTGATTTGCTGAAGTTAGTTCTTAGTTGCCATCACAGAACCTGCAAAAATTAACATTCCCCTATATAATCCCTCCATCCTACTTTTAAGGTGAAATTGCATTAAATACCCCAGGTAGCAGGTGATTTGATTAAATATTCGGATCCCCTGAACATATTGATGCAAAGCATAGAATATTTTTAAGTGTTCATTTAACAGGTAAGGCTGGAAAGAAACATGAACCGTTTATCTTGTTAAATTTTGCCCTGCTAGTGAATGCATGTCGCACTAGATAGTTACACTAGTAAAATTGCTTTCATATTGATTACTAAAATTTTAGTTGAATATAAGCAAAATATTCAAAGTAATTGTCCAGCCTACAACAAGTTCAAAACTCTGACTCTAGTAATTGAGGGAAAGCCATTTGAATATGTGGAAAATAATCAGAGATGGTTTACATTGACTTTATAATGCCTCACACGCTGCAGCAGTGAATTTGCTAGGACAGAAATATTTAGCTCTGCTTGACTGTGCAAGCCTGGTGATACTTCTCCATGGCATTTGCTAGCTCTAAGTTGTGTGGGTGTGATTTCTCCCCTAGGTTTGCTGGTGCTTTCACACTGCGGCAGCGGATGCTGAATTTTGTACAGAATATCCAGTATTACATGATGTTTGAAGTAATGGAACCAACATGGCATATTCTTGAGAAGAACCTGAAGTTGGTGAGTATGTGTGCACTTGAGAGGAGTTGGAATGGAAGTCTTAAGTTAAGAAATTTAATATAGGAAAAAATGCCTAATTTCAGTTACTGCAGGTGACTGTTGAACATTTTGTTGGAGGCACTTAAAGTATCCAGGAACTGCTGTTCTTATCACACTGCAAAGAGTGCTGCTGTTCTGTGTCACCTTTCTGCCTTATTAGTCATATATCCGTTTCCTCTGCTGCATCCTCCTATCTATACCCAGCTCATACTCTGCACCCTGTTAGAGGTAAAGGTGGTGGTCTGCTGAACATCGCCTTACACAGAAGAAAGAAAACTATGGAAAAGGAAGGATGCAGGGTGCAAAGATCATAAACAGGTCCAGACATCTTCAGCTGATTCCTTGATTCCTTGGCCGACTTACAGTGCTCTTAAAAGCCAAGTCTGTGCTTTCTCTTCTGTGAAGCTGCCGAGGACTGGCATGTTAGGACTCTCTGTTATAAGACAGCACCTTCCTTATTCAGGTATTCCATGTGTATATTTCCACTGCAGGTGGACAAGGCTGGAGAACTTTTCCACTACAGCGGTATCATAGAATTGTTTAGGTTAGAAAAGACCTTTAAGATCATCAAGTCCAACCGTTAACCTAACACTGCCAAGTACACAACTAAACCATGTTCCTAAGCACCACATCTACACGTCTTTTAAATACCTCCAGGGACGGGGACTCAACCACTTCCCTGGGCAGCCTGGTCCAATGCTTGATGTAGTGCTCTGAGCTGTGGGATTTTCCAGGTGTGTTACAGAATATTTCTGGTTCACTAATCCAAGTCAGTGTCTTCCCCAGAATTTAACTCTTTGCCCTAGCAAAAACGGCAAGAATCAGTTTTTATCTCCTGATGGGCCTGTGAGATGCCTTTATTATCTCACAGAGGAACACGTTCTCAGCTAATGTCCCACCTGCCTGTTTTAAACCAAGAATGAGAAGTCATTGGGAGTTTCAGAACAGTCTCTTCAAGAAGGTCTTCTCATATCTGGTTTCATTCATGTCAGATTTGTTGGTTCCATCCTTAAAAGCAGAGAAAAAAATCTGTCACCAACAGATCAAAGGCTATTCTCAGTCTGTCTAGAGCAAACCCTTCTCTCCCTTTGTTTTTGTACCTGACTGTGGTAAAGATCTAGACTTTTAGGGCATACAGAGTTACTGTGGAAGTTTATTAGACAAGTGAAGGATGATGTCTGAGGACTGACAGATCTAGTGAAAGCCACAGCAATGCTGCAAATACATGTTGTCTTCCTTGCCATCAGCCTGGGCCCAGCCCATGGCTTCTTCGTTCCCTAGGAACATGTGCTGGCTAGGGCACTGGTTGCCTTGCCTCTCGGCACCAGTGGACTTGCCTGGCTTCTGCTGGTTTCTGGCATACAAGCAAGTCTTTGTGGGAGGAAAAAGAGCAGAGATGGCATCTTAGGTTACTTCTGTACTGCTGCCTAAACCAAGGGCAGAGACATAGGCTGTCTGCTCCACATACATAGCAAATGTCTCCACTGGGTCCTGTGTGGTCCTAACATACAATCGTTTTGTGTTCTTCCAGTTTCAAGTGTTTACAGCAGTCTGGGGAGGGCTGTATTGTAGCTGTTTTCATAGCATGAAGCTGCAGGGATGCATTGCATGGGCTGGGGCATGTGGTGAAGGCCTGTGACAGTGCTCAAGGGTACAAAGTTTGGTGGAGTAGTGTTGGAGGGCTTTGCCAAGTGAGGGAATCTGACCTGCTGCCATCTCCTTCATGCCAGGAGACAACTTGAGAAGGCCCTTAGGAAGTGCTGTCCCTGAGCTTTGTATGACAGTTGTCTTGGCGTATGGGACTCGGCACGGGCAAGGGAGTGAACTTGTATTTAATTAGAGCAGATGATCAGTGATCCATTCCTCAAGCTTGCTTATTTTGCAGCATAACCTTTGTGATGGCTGTAGTCACTTTCCTTATCCCAAGGGACTCTGCGTTCCTCATGGTCCTTCTCAGTTTCCTTACCCTCTGTGCTGCTGCTGTGTTGGGGCTGGTGTTAGGGTACCCCAGCTACGGTGAGGGAACAGGAGGCAGATGTACATCGCCTTCTTATTCGTCCCTCTGGTAGTCATCCTGTGATCAGATGCTTCTGGGTTGCACATCTTTTTCCTCTTATGCCATGAAGAACATTTATCTGATGTACCAAACAGCCCAACACTCCTGCAATCTGTATTAAGCCACAGCAGCTCTCTTGGCAGCTCTCTGATGAGCCTTGTGAATCTTCAACATCAACTGACCCTGTCTTAGTTTCTGATGTGTACTGGGGAGTTGTTCTGGGGTCAGCTAACCAACATTTTTTGATGCCCCATCATCCTTTTTCCTGGAGAATTCACAGGAGGTATCAGGTCTAAGACCATAAGCATCTCTGCATATTCTTGGCGAGGACTTCTGAACAAGAAGAGGTTATATGTCAAGCTCCTGTGTGACCTGAGAGAAGTATACTTGCTTCTCAATTTTGTTGTAAGTTCAGGTTTGCAAAATATAATAGTTTACTTTACTTGAATTGAGGCACTTGAACAAGTTATCCTGTCCCGGGTTCTTCCATACTGATTTCAGGTAGCACTTCCTTTCAGTCTCTGCTGATTCCAGATGTACTAGAAGGGACTGTTAAATGCAGGAGGTACACGGTCTGTATTGACAGCATCCCCTGTTCAGAAGAGACAATCTCCTGACTCCACAGAGTTTTTGCAAAGACTTTCTGTCTGAAGATCCCTCTCTGCTTTGGCTCTCAGCCATTGAGTTTCTCTGCTCCTTCAGAGATATAGAGGTGTTGAAGCATTTTTATTTCAGTTCCAAAAAGGAATTTGCTGATCTATACTGTTTCTCGGAGGACCCCATTCCCAAGAAACATCTATAGGCCAAACCTTTTTGATAGCCCAAGTGGGCAGAATTTCTCCCTCACTATGGAACGTCTGTGAGCCTTGTTAGCCTGCCAGAGATGTTGAGATAGCAGGTATAAAGTGACTTTGCTGGCACTGAGGAAAGGTGTTTCCGTGGCTGTATGGCAAGAAGGAGATCTGCCTGTGCCTTCACCATACGCTTCTTCATTTCTGAAACCTTGAGGGCTGCTGCAGTGTTTTGTAGAGCATTTCTACTATTGCTCTGTACATGAAGGGCTTCTCCAAGTAGTAGTGCAGCAGTAGCAGTAGTGCAGTAGTAACAATTCAAAGATGCCTGTGATGTGAATATGTACACAGGTCGTCACATGAAACTGAAAAAGTCTTTTGGCAAGTTAGCAGAGTCTTTGAGATGTAATCCAAATGTATGTCTGCCTCCCATCCTCATCAGTGTCCTTCAAGACTTTTAAATCTCTGGGGGATGGAGCATGCCCTCTACCAGTGCCAGGGCAGGAAAAGTCTGGCTCTAGGCATTGTTGTGATACGGGCACCTGTGAGTCAATCATCTCAACAATTCCAGCTGAAGAAGCTGTTTCAGCAACCACTTTGTTACGTGGTCCTTTAAAAGAGCTGCTCACCAAGGACAGCCTATCCCCAGCTACTGGGTAAATTCTTCCTTGATTTAAATAAAAGCATCATTTATTTCCAACCAGAGGATGCAAAACTAGCTCTTTAACTTCCGTAGCCTACGGACTGGGGTAGTTTTTTCCTTTCATTTGCATTTTAGGAGGGAAAAGAGTGATCCTTACTGGTCTCATGTAGTTCCTTATGCAGTTTTTTTATTTGTCAGACTAATCTCGTGCATTTCCACTTGAAGTTAAGGTGCTTTCTTCCTAAAAGTATAATTAGTATCTTCCTCTTCACAACATTATTGTCTTCATCAACTACCATCTTCTTTGCGTTAGAGAACAGCATTTATCCCTGTTCTGTACTAGTTTAAAAGGTTATGCAGGCTGGGGGCGGTTGGCATTGATCCTGATGGAACAGTGCAGATACCTTGGCAATTTTAGTCCTGTGGTTCTTTCCTAAGCTTGACTTGTGTTCTCAGCTTCAGCACATCTCATAATAGTACAGAGTGAGGGGGTTTTTATCATTTAAAACTCAAGACTGAAACAGCCCACTGAAGTAGCAGAGCTGGACAAAAAAATCTTGTAGAACCCTTGCAACACTCCATGTCCCAGTTCCTTATTGTGCTCCTAAAATATGTTTCTGAATAACCTGTATGTTTTAAGCCTTGTAAACCTACTGCCATTTAAGGTTCTTTGATTTATTTTTTTCTTTTCCACTTACTGTAACTGACTTTATTGAGATTATGAAGGTGGGAGTGGGCATGACAAGGAGATTTAAAAGCAAAGGAAATGCATGTTCATAAAGCAGATAACTCCATCCTGAGCCTCCTTTCCAGTGGAGGGTTTGGATGATTAAAGAAAGCATAATTTGGTTGAGAAGGTGATGTGACAATTCAAAGGTAAAAAGCCTATGAAAGGCTGTTGAGTGCAGTAATGCGAATACAGTCTCCATCTCAGGATGTTTCTCAAAGCTGGAAGGTGCACGTGAGGTATCTCAATGTGCCCTAGAGCATGTCCGAGAGGTTACTGTCAGAGGCAGGATGCTGGATTAGAGCTTTGGTCCAGTGCAGCACAGCAGTCCTGGTTTGGTTTTTCATTATTGTACTATCCTGTCACAGGCATCTAATATTGATGATGTCCTGAGCCACCACACAAGCTTCCTGGATAACTGCTTGAAGGACTGCATGCTAACCAACCCGGAGCTGCTGAAAATCTTCTCCAAGCTGATGTCTGTCTGTGTCATGTTCACAAACTGCATGCAGGTATGTACAGCCTTCCCATATTGACCATGCCACTGCCAGCTGCTTTGGGTGCCAGCCAGCTATGACAATCCCTTTTTTCAACACGAGCCCTCTTGTCCTTGATGCACGTAGAAGAGCCTCTGTTCCTCTCGCCAGCAGGCTTTAGAACTTGAGTGCTCAGACCCTCATCCTTTCTCACAAAGGTTTCTGTGGCTTCTCCCTCCACAAAATTCTCTATGCTCTTCTTTTTCAGTGTTGGCATCGGGTTCGTATGAACTGAATTACCTCCCTTCAGCCAGTCCTGCAGCAGAATTTGAGGTGTAAATTTTAGGGCTCTGTAGTTTTTAGCATGCTGTTTTTGAGGGTCAGGCAAGGACAAGTGATTGGGCCCATGGAGACTGATCTCCGTGGGCACACTCTAGCCAGCATCTCAGGGAGCTCATAGCTTTAAAAAAATAACACCTGCCTTTGGGTTTAGGGAGCTTTGTGTATTAACATCATAAATTTAATCTCAGAATTAGCTTTCATGGGAGTTAGCTAGCTGCAGGGCTAGCAGAACTGAATCAGCCTCATGCTTTGCCATAATTGAAAAAATGGGATCTAACTATTTCCCCAACCCTCTGCCCTTCCAAGAGGTTCACCCAGAGCATGAAGCTGGATAATGAGATGGACCGGCTCACCTTAGAGCATGGCACAATGCTGGGCCCGCCAACAGAGGAGGAGCGTGCCGAAGAGACTGCGAAGAAGAAGCTGACTAACAAGGTGGGACATGGGATGGACAGCTGGGCCCTTTCCTCTGTGAATGCTGCCTGGGTTGCAGTCTGGTCAGGGTGGATGTCCTATCTCTTGCAGACCCTCCTGGTTTCTAGAGCACCTCTGGCCCCAAAAGCAGAATCTTTGCAGAATTGTGGGCTTTTGAGGGCAGTGTGGAGCCCTGATGGTGTTCTCAAAGTCTGCTTTGAAGACTCTGTCTCCCACAGCAGTCACTGCACTTGTTTTTAAGTTCTTAGTTGTATTTTCAGCTGTGCAGCGGGTACCCACATACAGGCTTTCTGCAACTCAAGAACTTTTCTTATTTCCAGGACTAGCATTTTGTGATGGATGAGCCAATAAACTGTTAGGTGTGACCCATCCCTTTCATATCTGGGGTATTTGTCTTGTCCATATTTCTCTATCTGGATGCACACATACTAAGAGATTTGTTTGGCATTCTCCACGGTTAGCAGGCTGCCTCCTGTCCCACTGAAAGCCCCTCTCTGGCACACAGCTGGTAGGGTCCATCACACTGCAAGGCAATCAGAGTGCTCCAGAAGTTACAGTCTGTCTTAGGCAACACTCACTTTCTGCTTACTGGCTTTTCCTCCTGCTTGAAAATAAATAATGACAGCATATATTTGAGGATAACTCTACTGGTATATACTCTGGGGTTCTACCAGATAGGCATAGCAAGGTTTTTGACTACCAAGGACCTTGCAACTGTTTTGAAGGATTTATTTTAGTGGCTAAGCGACTGTTAAGTTTTATGGAAGTATTTTTGAGCAGGTTAGGAAATAGGAAAGGAATAATTGCATCTCTTTGGCAAGTGCGAATCTGCAAACACATGGGGCCACTATGCCTTTGTCTTGATAGCTTTTAGCAGAGCATGCCGACAACCTCCACCTGACATCTGGCTTCGAAGCAACTATCAACAAGTTTGATAGCAATTTCTCAACACATCTGCTGGACCTGTTGGACAAATTGAGTGTTTACAGCACCAATGACTGTGAGCACAGCATGCTCAACGTCATCTACAGGTGAGCCAGTAGCTTCCTCTCTGTAACTTCTCCTCCTGTGGTTCCCAAACAATTGCTGTTTATAACTGTGCCTGTCTGCCCCATCAATGAAAACACTGAAATCTTGTGATTTCTTGTGAAATATTGCTTTGCATTTCAACCCAAGGCTTAAAAAAAAACCCCAAACACATTTCTTTGAACTACGTGAAATTTGTCTATTGATGTTGTAAGTGTAGTGCAAGTCTTAGTTTTCTTGGGGATTATCTCAATGTGTAGACAGTGAATAAGCTGATTCCTGAATACAGCGTAAGTAGTCCAAGATGAGAAAGCCATGCAAGGGATTGATCATAAGAGGCTATTTTGTTTTAAGTTCATGTCTTGTATTTATTTAAATAAGCATCCCTTAACATGTTTTTATTGTGTCCTCATCCATACTTACTAGCTGCTTAGAAATCAGAATTCCTTCACTAGTACCTAAAAGTCAGATACACAAGATATACTGCAGGAAGAGAGAGAGAGAGATCGATCAGGACATCTAGGTTTTGCTGTTAGCTTTATAACCTCTGTGTTTCTTTTTCAATAAAATGAGATGCACAAGGCCTTCTTTGGAATGATTAGCATTTATTCTTGCTATAGAAGTCATACATATTAGTGTTGCTGGGCTTTTTAAGATCTGTGTTCTAGAGTGGTGTAGCATGGAGAGACCTGCCCTGCTACTTCTAGCTTTGAAGAACCACAGATAGTGCTGTTGGAGCGTTATCGCCAGTTGAGCACATGTGCTGTGCAAGCAGAATGCTTCTCACTCTGATCCTGCTACCAGCACTTTAGGAGCAAACCAGAAATAACTGCAACTATGGAGTTTGCTGCTGGGAGCAGCTTTTAGTGTTTGTGGCTGGAATATGTTTTGCCAGAGTGAAGCACCCATGAAACCTAGCAGCCTGCAGATTGGAAATGTTCAGCTGAGGCATGCATATAACCACAGACGAAGAAGGCAAGCAAGGGCCAGGAGTTGGCATCTCTTAATTCAAAGAGTCACTGTGGTGGAAGTCACGTGTAAGAGCTGCTGGTCGCCAGCTGCCTCACACCTGGGGCAAAGACTAACACTTCAGAAATGCTGCTTGCAGACTGTTAGGCACATGCAAAAACCAATTCATTTTTACAGTGACTTATTTTTTCCAGTGAAGAGGCAGGATATATATTGTGTATAGGCATAATTTTAAGAGGCCAGGATTTTCATGAGTATAAAATATCTCAACACCAATGCTTTTTCAAGTGCTTGTTCTGTGTCTGTAAGCCTAATAGACACATTTTCACTGTTAGGGGTACGTGTGAGCCTAGAACACTTGAGATTACCTTCTTTGTCGTTGCTGTCAGCTAGGGCACAGAAAACAAGACCACCCTAAACATCCATTAGTCTCTTCATGCTGTCTGTAAGCTGGTGTGTAGCCTTATTTTCCTGTGTAAGCAATTGTAAATAGCTCTTAAAAGACTAGCCAGAAATTAAGGTCATTTTTAGGTGTTGGTTGTTTCCTTTCATCTTTTTCTGAGGAAAGCCCTCAGGAGGCTCTCCTGTAAGGAAAAGGACTACTCCCTACTTTTAAGAATGTTTTTCATCCAGAGTTGTAATGCTTTTCAATGGTAGATATGCCAGAATCAGTTGGCAGTGACACATAATTTTGTTCATAAATGTGCCTGATAACTGGTTAATCCCATACGTTTTCTATCTTCCCTTGGTGCTGCAGGGATTTGTGCCCCAACCCCTTTGATATTTTGTACAGAACAGAGTAGATCCTTATTTAGTTCTTTTTAACCACATAGGACTAAAGGGTACTTTGAGCTTTCTCCTAACTGTGTTTTGTCCTCTGTTTTGTTTTGTTTTACTTAAGCATAGTCTTACTGCTCCTCTGCTTTGTTTGGTCTTTGTGACTGTACTTTTTGTTGGTCATTCTCATCCTTTACAGGAAAACCATAAGAATATTAACCTGCAACCATTAAGTTCTGTTTACTGCCCTTCTGTACCAGGTGTCTTTTATGGCTGGCAGATAACCCTTACACCTCTGTTGAGATGTGCTACACCTGAAAACAGAGAAAATGTTTCAGGAATGTTTTTTTGAAGCAGGTTGTTGTCCTCTCCTCATGCCATGCTTCTTGAAGCTTTCATTGTCCTTTTCTAACAGCATCTGACAGGGCTGTCCAGGATTCCTGGTACCAACCTTTACAGACAGTGTTTTGTGAAGTATTCCAGCAAGAGACAGGGCTTCCAGTTGTCCTTTACTTCTGAGAACTTCTTGACCAGCAACTGCCATGCATTTACACAGCCCCTGGCCTCCTGTGTTAGCATAGAATCATAGAATTGTTTAGTTTGGGTCTATCTGAGATGTGGTCACACAGCTGAGACCGAGGTTGAACACTAAAACCTGTCATCCCTGTTACCATGGGTGCTTCCAGGAGTGGAGTCTAGCCCACCAGCTCCCACAACACTGTAGAGAATTACACATCTTGTCTTCTTCCTTGTAGGATTGTATTCCTTATTTAAGGAGAACAGGGATACTCACAGGCATCTGGAAGGAAGTGCAGTGCCACAGGACTGCTTGGTGCTCTGAACTCTCCTGCTTCCATTCCCTGTCAGGGTAGGAGCTTATCTTCCTGCCACCAGAACAACCCTTGTTGGTCCCTGAAATGGGAAAGTAGGTGAGGACCCCTTCTTCACAGTCCTAATAACACTGATTCACTCCATCTTTGAAGTGACCAGAGTCAGAGGTCTCCTTCTCCTCTAGGAAATTCTTCAAAGACCTTTTTCATGGCTGTGAGTGGAGGCCCCAACTGTACAAGTGGTTGCTGTTCCTTTCAGGACTAACCAGGACAGCTAAGTCTCTGCAAATCCTTTTAGGAAATGATGGTGCAGCTTATCAAGGCCTTCTGGACAATTTATGTCAACCTTCATCTGCCTGGGCATCACTGTTTATCATATTCATAGTGTTGCAAATTGCAGGCAGGATCCATCTGTAGAAAAATAGACAGGCCAAAGGGATTAAGCTCTTACGTTCCCCTCGCTGCCGTCGCTCCTAGGTGTCACAGTAGCATACAGAGTCAGACTGTATTCAGGGATCGAGACCACAAGCATTGAGTCATCCAGGCAGGAATATTTACTCCTCCCCAGTGCTCCAGCCCTGCCTCCTCCTTTGTCAAGCGCTTACATTTTATCATTACCAGTACAAGTTCTAACAGATGGGCTTTTTTATGATGCTCCATCCAGGAGGTCTTAATAGCGACTAACTCCATGATCCAGCCGTTTGGACATCATTGCAGGTGGCACAGGGCATGGCCAACACCGTGCTGAAGACCAAGTTGCCTGCTCTTTTAATAGGAAGAGCATCATAACCTCACAGTCCTCAAGTCTTGTAAAGAATGTGTGGAGATCGTCCCAGCTCAGTCCAAGGCCAGAGTTGGTTGGTTCTCAGCTTACTCAAGAAATCAACAATGTCAAGTCCTTGACCAGTCTTTACACCATGCAACAGCAGAAGTCCTGCAGCCTTCCATCACACTTTATCACATGTGATGCCAGACATTCATGTAAGGCCTTTTCTGGCAGTAGCTCGGGTTGTGTCCTCCTTCCAGCACTGCTCCTACACTTAGCATCAGAGATTCACCGCTTTTATCCATTGCCTCCCCACCCTTGTGTCAACTTTATGCTTCTGCCAGGACAGTGGGACAAGCTGATGCTGCACTGTGGAGACTGGCTGTGTATCTTGTTCAGTTGTAGGTCCGTGGTGGCATGGCTTGGAGCTATCCTCCGCCAGATGCCTTTGTGTTTCACACACCAGACGCGAGTGTTAGCTGTGGCAGGAGGTGACTTCTGAGCTGTTGAAGCTCCGGGGTCAGTTCTTCCAAATATGGAGAGGTTGTTTTTTACAACAAGAGTACTTCCTGCTTCAGGAGAAAGGAGAAGTAAGGTGATTCAGGCGGGTTATGACAAAACAAAATGTTTCATTTAGCAGTTTGCATTGAGACTGGTGACCAGCTGTTGAGGAGAGAGTCTAAGTCCTTTGCCCCCTGGTATTTCCGTGCCCTAGTTCCGTTCACAGGCTGCAGAGGAAATACTGCATCTTTATGCCATCAGGACTGTCATCACTATCAAGTCACCCAGTTCGGACTGTCTGGGACCACGTGAGTCTCCACCAAGATGCTGGACATAGCTGGACCTTTACTGACAAACCTTAACTGAAATACTGCATGTTAACGGGCCACGTCTTTCCATTTCTACAGGCTGCTCAGTAATGTTTTAAAGAGTGGAAGTCCCACGATGAATGCCCAGATGTGACATTTAGCTCTCATTCAGTCTGTAGAGATTATTGGATCGAGTCCTGGACTCTATGGCAACAGGAACCCAAGAACCAGAGCAGAAACAGTTGCCATCTGAAATGACATTTTGACAGAGATGGAAAAGTTTATAAGACATACCGGTCTTCTTTTGTAAATGATAACCTTTTTATATGACTGCTTTTCAAGGGTGATAGTCAACATGTAAGATAGACAACAAAATATCCCTTTTAGTCATAATTCTGGTACTGTGCTTCTATTTATTTGATCCTAGTTAATACTTGTTCAGTTTATAATACTGAGTAACTGAGGTACAGCCATCATCTTTGTAGCACCAAACAACAGAAGACAGAGGTCCAGAAGGTTTCCTTCAGAGCAGGGAAGCTCACACGTAACTCACAGATCTTCCATGTGCTGAAGTCCTGCTCAGGTGCCCTGGCTCCATCAGTAGCAGTGCTGACAGAGGGTTGGCAACTGCAGAAAATCTCCCCAGAGTCACATCCCATTAGTGAAAAGGGGAAGAATTACAGCTTAGCGGACTTCGTCAGAAAGATTACTTAATTCCAAATACTTAGAAATCTTACCTATCAAGCATTCGTCAGATATCCTTCCTTTACCAGTTTGGAGGAAACAGCAATGACTGAGCTTAGAGTAAGACCGGTAGGATGTATGAAGTGGTGCAAACTGCAGCAAATAAAAGTTCCAGCCAAAACCCAAGAAACTGAAGTGTAAGCAGAGTTTGAGGAAGCACCATGCAAATTCTTAAGAGATAGTTATGAAAGATCATTTAACCCTAAAAACATAGCTGGAAGGAAAGCACATCAAAATCTGCAATTCAAAAAGTTTGGAATAAAGCAACTTTAGAAATGGAACAGATCCTCAAAGCAAGGATGTAAATGAGTCTTGGCCTTGTATTTGAATCAAAGTTTGGTCAATATGCCTGCCTCAGTATCAGGTTTCCTTTGTACAACACTTAAAGGATGAAAGAGATGTAAGCCTTTCAACCAGGAGAGTGCAGCAGATAAATTCCATCTGTCGAGGCTCTGTTTTCCGCAGTCACCAAAAAATGTCAAGGAACAATTTGTTGCCATTTATGTAAGGTTGTTAAGCAACATGAAACTCAAATATTGTGCCCATTCATTTAGCATTGGAGCAACTTAATTTGAGAAATGAAGAGAGTAACTTTGTGTGATTCACAGGCTTATATCGACTAGTGCTTAGTGTTCCCAGGGCACATGTTTTTAAGAGCTGCACATGTCCTAGGTTGGCTTCGTCATGCAGAGATCTTCCTAAAGGAAGGTCACAGCAGGCGTGGAGCTGGGTGGTTTTGTGGCATCATTTTGGATTATCAGGGAGACAGGATTATGCTATTGCTGATGGAGAGGCGTTTACAAGTATCAGCAATACTTGTGATTTTGGCTGAGCATCTTCCAACCAGTTACTCATCTTGAATCGTGAATCTGTTTGAAGCATACTTGTGCTAGCAAGGAGGTGGTGGTAATGGAAACTGCAACATTTCATGGTAATTACGGTGGATAATGTGGTGGATTTCATATGGGAATTAATACCAGAGTTCAACGGTGGTGAACTCTGGTATTAAGCAGTGGTGGGAACTGGCTGAGAAGGTGCAGAGGCTGAGGAGCCCTCACCCCTGGCGCCTTGTCCCCAAGTGACACATCTCCAGGGTTATGTGGTCAAGCTGTGGCTCTGGAGAAGAAGCTATTAGCAATTGGTCCTTCCCGATGTATTTTATACACCTGTAAAGAACAGGTGACATCTAGCCTGGTGTCAAGGGACAAGCATAGAAGAGGTGTCACCAACACCACCTGTGGCACAGCGTGGTTGTCCCCGTCTCACTTTGAACAAGCCATGGTGTCTACCCAGCCCAGGGCAGTCCCGTGCAGAACTGGCTGCAGCGTGGCCACGTTCGGCTGATGCCCTGGGAGAGGTTTCTGCTCCAGGGGCTGTGGCTGGGTAAGAGCAAGGCTGTGCTCAGCGGGGTGGGCATGGGGAGTGCGGCCGCTTGAGAGGTCTGTGCTGTGGTGCAGACCCCCTTGCTGCTCGAGTGAGCGTCCTCTGCTTCTTCCCGCAGCGAGACTTGCTTTGCTTTGCTTCACATCCCTCATTTCAACCAGCTTAAGTCCTAAAATTCACCTGACCCTATAAAAGAGTTTATTTTTGCATCCCCTTGCTGCCTGTGAGCGCCTTGACAAGCACGTGCGCTGCAGCACTTGCAGCACCAAGCTCTCGGGGCGCCTTTGGCAGCGTGTTTGGCTTGCCGCGTGCCGCTCTTGGGTGGCGTTGAGCCAGCAGGCTGCCAAAGCTTTGGGTTTTTTTATCTCTCAGGTTGGACTTCAACGGGTTCTACACAGAGCGCTTGGAGCACATGTCTGCCGAGCGCAGCCAGAAGGCAGCTCCCCTGCTTCCCCGCCTGGCCGTACCTGCCCAGTGAAGCCCTGCTGCTGCCCCTTTCAGCCGTCGCTGCTTCTGCACCAGCAGAGAACCGGACACTCGCTCACTTTGAGCGAGGAGTACTCGACCCTCTACGTGCACATTGCGAGCTGAAAACGAACCATAAGGGTTGTCCCAGAGAGACCAGGAAATATTCAATCTCCTGAAATGTATGTAATGGATTTTCTCTTCTGAGAGGCTTTTGTTAAGTCCTTTTTTGTTTTCTTTTACCACATTGTAAAATGATGTTATCTGTGTGTTGTAAAAGAAATTTAAAAAAAAATCAGGGTTATTTTGTCTGTTAACAGAACTCAGGGTGCAAATTGGTCTTTTAGGTGACTAAATTTTGGTTGGCTCGCAGAGATCAGCTGCCATGCGGCATTATTTTGGGAGGAGAGCCTAACTGGGGGGTTGCTGGGGTGACGCTGATCAGCTGCTTGGAGCGATGAGCAGGTACACGGTGTTCATATCGTATTGGCCGAGTCGTCAGCAGAGGACTTTCAGGGAATCTTGCAGAGTTGTGCAGCCATAAAAATTGCTCGAGCCAGTTCGGAAATGGGTGTAGCAGACGGTGGAAGAGAAGAAAAGTCTTCCAGGAGCAAGTGGTAACCAAGACACGTGCCAGAGACCTGGGGGCCTCGGTGGCAATTGTGGGAACGTGGGGAGACATGCAAGGGCTGTGGATGCAGGGCTGAGTGCTCCTGCGAATGACCTCCCCTCGTCCTTTGCAAAGACCTTCTAGAGCACATTAGAGGAAAGAGCCAGGTTCTCTTGGCTCTGGTGGCCTAAAGCCGATCCTCCAGCTTGGCAGAGGGCAAGAGAACCAAGGAGAGGATGGAGACCACCAGTCCTGGGTCTGGAGGACTGAATTCCTTCATCTGAAGGTTGAGGACCGAGACCTCAGCCAGCACCATCTGGCCCTTCAGGGAAAGGACTTGTGCCGTTCATGGGGAAGGGGAAGTTTCCTGTTCCCCTCACACTGAGGTGGCCTCTCAGTCCAGGGAGGCTTGGAGAAGTTGACCTGCCATTTCCATTAAGTTTCTGTGGATCTGCAGACTTCACAGCCCATCCCTCGAGCTCAGGGTGCAGAGGCAGAGGGGCCCGGGTCCCTGGAGGAACCTGCTCGCCATTCAGTGCCCAACATCTCAGGCTTGAGAGACTCCCCTGGCACCTCGCTGGGCCGCTGCTGGCACACACCTTTTTTTTAAGCCAATGAGCAGTGTGGTTCATGGCTGTTGCGGGACAAAACTCCGTTCACGCAATTTAAATTAAATCCGGATTGAAGCCATTTATAGATGAGTAAAACATAATTAACCAGCAAGCATTGAGTCTCAGCAGAAGTAGGAGCTATTTCTGAAATGTTAATTTTTAAAATCGACAGCAAATTTCTAAGCACCCCTCTATGAGTAATCCCAAGAAGTCCCGCTCAACACTGGCACATGTGCACATGCAGACAGTTATGTGCACCCCTCTCGCAGCTTTTGGGGGGGCGAAAGGCACCCCTTTCCTGGGAGGGGGGGGCTCCCCTCCTTGCACACTCCTTCTGTGGGACATGTGGGTGCTCCGCCTCTATGGGATCCCCTGCTGCTCCCTGCGACCCGCAGGTCCACACCCGAGCGAGAAAGCCCCCGGGAGGTCACCTGCACCCCAGGGCTGGGATCCCCTGCTTGTTGCCCCACGTACCGACAGCCCGCGAGCTGGATGCGGCCCCTCGCTGTGCCCGCCCCAGGCAGGGGTGGTGATGCTGGTGGGGCAGCGTCGTAGCAGCCTTTGGCTCCTGCTGTTTGCATGAGAACACATTGACAGGTAACTGCCATTACCCAAAAACTGGTTTGCATTGGATGCCTGGTTGGCTGAGTGGTTACTTTAAAGGCTCGGCTGGATCTCCACATAGATCTACCCACTCCTCTCTGAGAGCAGACCTTGGTCCAGGCCAGATGCCCTCCTGCCAGCCCTGAGCAGGAGGTGGATGTGTGTCTTCTCCCCTCACCAAACGCCACGAGGTGCCAGGAGAGTGGCAAGAAAAGGTCCTGCGTCTGGACCCAGCAGCCCCACGTCCCGTGGCACGGCAGTCAGGTACCTCCTTGCCCAGTCGCGATTTGGGTGCTCAGTGTCTCCCTGGTGAGCCGGGTTATTCGCTCTGCTTCGTAGACCATGGGTTGGTCAGTAGCTCCTTCAAGACCAGCTCAGCTCTGCACACCTTGTAAGGGTTACCATCATGGTGGGGACAGCTCTACTGGAGATGTTTAGATAGTTGTGAATAAACGTGACTAGGAGTGTTGAGGGTGGAAGCACAGAGCTTTAATATTGTTTTTTTAATAAACTTGTCTATTTAGGAGGGAATTACAGAAAAGCTGCGGGGAGAAAGAGGGAAGACACTGCAGCAGCGCTTGGCTAGGGTTGTTTCTGTGCATTTTGGAGGAAGCTTGTCCCTGGTGATGGAGCTCTGTGACAGCCAAATTTGGCATCTGTGCCCCCTTTCATTAAATGTGTCATTTCCTAGCTGGTCCTGGCCTGAAAGACCAAGAAACATAAAAAAATCAGTTTGCGGGAGCAGGGTTCTCTCTTCACAACTTGCTACATGGAGAAGACAAGGGGCAACAGGTTGCATCGGGTGAGGTTTTATCTCAACCTAAGAAATACATTACAAGTGAGAACAATCACTTGCCACAAAAAGCTCCCTGGGGATGTGGTAGGATCCCCGTTGCTGGAGGGTTTCAAGATGCCACTGGCCAGGGTGCAAGATCATAGAATGCTTTGGGTTGGAAGGGACCTTGAGAGATCATCGAGCCCAACCCCCCCCTGCAGTGAGCAGGGATTGAACATGTGACCTTGGCATTATTAGCACCATGCTCTAACCAACTGAGCTAACCCGGCTGGTCAAGATGGCTCATCCAGGCTCCCTTCCCCACCACAGGTCAGCCCAGGTGACCTTCAGAGGTCCCTTCCAACCTGGGGTGTTCTGTGGACAAGGGGGAGAGGGCAGTCAGCTCCGCGGCAGAGCGGAGAGCTCAGGGTGCAGTGCACATCCCTGCTCAGCCCCACGTGGTACTCCCAACTCCTCTGATCCTTTGGGATCAGGGAAGGTCCCAAGTGCCCCACTGATATGCCCTGATGTCCCACGGTTCCCCCAGACCCCCTGACAGCTCAGCCCCCCGTGATGACCCCAGCCCCTCCACCATCTCAGTGCTGTGCTATCTCAGTGCCCTGCCAACACCCCCCAAATGCCTCTCCACTCCCACTGCTGTCCTCAGTCACCCTCAGAGCTCGGGCATCACCCCAGAACCA